CGAGACGCCACGGCCGAAGATTTTTACCATCAGTTCTCCGAAGAAGGTTGTCCGATGGAATCACCTCAAGATTCGAGGAATTCGGCGTCACTACTGTACGAAGCGAATTGATCAGAAAACTGATGTGTCCTTCTCTACTTTCTCTGCCAATACCGAACACTTTTCATGTATACGTAGAAGCTTTGTATTTAGTTAGTTTGAATTTGAGTTCTTCGATCGTTGAATGCTATTAACTTGATGATGATCTAACTTTAGGTGCTTGATTTTTACTTTTTTTTACTGTTTTGCTTCATCGATTCCGTCGATTTGATTGAAACAACATTGCAATGCATTCACTAATCGTTGAAGGCTATGGAACTAATGATCAAATTTGAGGTGCCTGATTTTTGTTTGGATGAGTATTTTTACTTCGTTGATTATCAATTTAATCGATTCAACTTAGAAATGAGTTCTCCTTATAGTTGAAGGCTAGTTGACTAATTTTACGAACCTGTTTTCTTTGAAATGAGTTTCTCTGCTTCATTGATTCAACAATGTGTTCTCTTCTCGTTGAAGGCTATTGACTCGAGAATCTAATTTTAGGAACCTGTTTTCTTTGAATAAAACTTTTTTGCTTCATCGATCCAACTTAGTATTCGTCTTTTACATCCTTTTCAGAATTTCGATGTTTATTGCACCTCTTTTCAATCCTGTTTTATTTTCTTCTCGCACACTTTTTGGCAGCTTCACATTCACAGGGAAAACAAATTCAGTAATCAATTGCTGTGCCTGTATTGTTCTGTCTTTGTTCTTGGTGTATATCCATTGTCTTTGTTTGATCTGCTCTTCTTGAATATATACACATTTGTTTCCTTCCTTGAATTTGCTTACAGCAATCTCTGCGCATTCTGCTCTCCAGAATGCCGTGATGATCAGATTTCCAAGGACTTTTGAGCTTCAAGAAAAGATCCAAAAGATCATAAACCGAAATCTATGCAAGACCGAGCATTACAGTGTGAAGGCTCCGATCCGCAGTGTGTTGTAAGTTGCAGAGAAATCTAGATGTAAAGTCTCCCGTGTAGATAGTTAAAGCCACATTCCTCTGTCAGTATGCAATGCTGCCAAGTTCTTAAAAAATCAGCTTGTATCTGCAAGAGTAGGTACTCAACCTTCTCTCCTTTCTAGTTTAATGAATGCAGATATCTATATATATATATATATACACACATCTGTGGAGTGGCTTCTCTCTGTTTTATTGAATCTTTTGAACCATTCATCATTTTGGTGCAGTAATTGAATGGACTCTGTTAATGTATTATATATTGATCTATGCTTCTTTATCCGTACAATAATATGTTGAACTTTCGACTTACAAATGTGCAAGATCCTTAAATGCATCGAATGTTAATGGAAGAATCTAGTGAGTTAGCTACAATTCTGTTTACACTGTGATTGTTAGACTGTGTAATTAGATCCCCGATTCATTTTTGCCCTTATGAATCCTTTATTAGTAGAAATTTAGCAGGGCCTCCCCGGGCAGTGCATCCGGTAGCAACTGTTCGAATCCAGCCCTCAAACTCGGACAACTAATGCTCTTCTTGATCCGTTGATGATTGATGGACTCGACTTGAGCCAAAAATACGCTGTAAACCGGTCTGTGATCTGAAAACCTCGATTCCCCTCGAACATATGACAGTTGGCGTAGGCCTTGTCCACACCATAATATGCGGTCGCACCTTTATTCAAGAGGATCGATATAAAGGATCCAAGCAAATGTGTTAAGAATATCTGTTTAGCATTTATATATGATCTTTGTTTATGTCTGAATTCTGATTACCATGCTGGTGTTCTTCGTTTCTCTTTAGGACATGTGTTCTCCCCGGCATACCTGTCTGAATTATTCGAGTACTTGTAAGTCGGAGGAAAGTATATGATGCCCTCGCTCCATCCAGGGAACACTCGCCCGTGCCTCTGCTCGACTCTAAGCTGTTTAAAGGGAGACAACAGAGTTGGTTAGATCAAAACATCGGTACGATGATTCTTTTTTCTGAAATGCTGAGGATGTTCTTACTTCTTCTTACCTGGTCATTTTCCAGCAAGGCTTTCCAGTTGCGCATATCGACAAGCACTTTTGCACATCGATACGACAGAGCAATCCGATAGTTCAAGTCGCCGAGCCAAATTATCCGACTGGGAGGAGAAACAGGTACAATATACAGTTTAGATTTTATGTTCCTTACAACCTCAAATTATGCTACTAAAAGAGACATTTAAGGAACTACTTACTCGTGATCAAGAATCGTCGTGCAGCTATGATACCCTGTCCCGACAACAACCTGCGAGAACCTCGTCTTCCTCAAAATCTCCATAACATCGGCGTTCCTTCTCAGCTCATCACCGTCTTTCTCTCCCGACGATAAGTGGCTGCAGACGAAGCAAAAGCTCGTTCGGTGCAGAGACATGCTCATCGAAATTGCGCCCTGGAGATTCAATGTAAGAATTCTAAAACACCTGTCTCTTATCTGTCGAAACATTACATTCTACGCCTATCTATCGAACCTCACCTTGTTTCCGAGATATCCCATCAGCCCTCTGCCGACACTTGAAACCTTAACATTTCGAACACTATCTCTTAGGCTGCTTCTTACCCATACTGTAAGAAATATCCCCACCATTTGCTTGCTTGCAACCAAGCAATACCTCGACCCCTCCGAAACCGGGCCATGTGACAAACCACATGGCCCGTTTTCATCATCAGACGAGCCATCCGACGTGCACTTGAACTTCGAGGAACCCATTTCTGCATGGGAGCCTTCAAAGTCATCCTTAAGACTATTAAGAGTTTTTCGAATTAGCGCCACCCATTTCCCCGCCGGGACGCTGTCTTCGGCGCCCAAAACATTCCCGGCGTTAAGTGGCACTATTTCTTGAAACCTTAAAAATATCGAATGGATCAAGCCGGGGATGAATTAAGAAAAGCGCGACGAATGTAATAGTAGTCGACGCTAGCTCACCCTAGAACGTAGAGATCGGAAGAAGGTGAAGTGTGTAGCCATTCTTCTAGATCCGAATGGCTCCGGGGAGATCTCCCGGCGACATTCCATGTTGCTGCAAATATCCTTTTTCCGATAAACGGAAATGATAAAAATAGACACAAACAACAAATATGTTGTTTACTTTATTACATAGTCTGTCATGATTTTCAATAAAAATATATTATTTCAAATAGTGACCTGTAGTCGCTAATATTTGTGGTCTGGGAGGCATCGAGATCGATCTTGCTTCTTCGGATACGGTCAGAATGTCGTGCTGTCGAATAACGAACCAAGAATTGTGTAAAAAAAAAGAAAGAAAAGAAACTCCTTTTTTAATATGAAAGTTATTGAAGAAACTCAATTGTTGCATTTCATCAATTAGTACAACCTCTAGAGGTGATGTTGTTATCCTCATAATGAAATTCTTCTTCCTCCGTAGTGGAATTGGTGTTGAGCCACTTCTTCTTTAGAGTCTTGGGCCATGAAAACTTGATCAAGAAACAGAAGAATAAGGCCCCCATTGATGCAAAAATCATTTGATTTATAGTTAAGTAATTGAAAACCACACCTTGTTCTTCATTAACCTTCTTGATCTTGGAGAATCAGGACAATGCACAGCATTAAGACAGTTTGTGTAGAGACACAAACATGACCCTATATATATATATATATATTAGGGTTTTGGAAATGAATTCTTGAATATCGAAATTTGTTGTGGGTCAAAGCAAGGCAGGATGTCCTGATTCAAGGGGTACTGTTTGGAATCAAGTCTATCTGTAAATATTCTTTTATGGATATTCATGGATTCTTGCAACCCTTTTTGTTATTGGAGAATCCTTCATTCAAGAAAAGCACTCTGGTATTATAATCAGTACATTTTTGTGGTGGCAACCTCCAGGTTGCCCTGCCCTGTCCTCCCCAAATCAATTATTGAATAAAGTGATTTCTTGTTTTGAAGCTGTCTAGGGTTTGGGATTTTCTCAAGAATATGTTTCTTCTCATTTCTTTCTTCTTCTTCTTTCTTTCTTTTTTTTTTTTTTTTTTTTTTTTTTTATTTATTACTGTAGTCATATCCGAAAGTGTGCATTAGATAAATTTTTTGTTGAATTTACCAAACTTAATATTCTATAAAGTAAGCTCGACAGATAAATTATGCTAGGCGAAATTATGCTAGGCGAACCGATTTAAACCCATGACTTTCGATCATACGTCTAGCCACAATACCACAGGTCATTCCTGGCGGAAGACGATATGTGCTTTTTTTATTAGAGATTGTATTGGGTTGAATTTGGAATGGATTTTGTAAATTCAAAACTTGCCACCGTCCTATTTTGAATTTGTTGGGTTCAAGCGCCAACTTGAAAGCCCATTTTGTTTGGTAAAATATATATATAGATAGATTTTTCTCTCTCTGTTTTTAAAAGTGTGTGTTTGTTTGGGAATTTAGATTTTAAGGTGGGATTTGAATGGTAAAAATTTTGAATTTAAATAGTTGTACGATTTAATCTTTTGGAGAGAAAAAAATACGATGAAATAGCGTATTTAAAATCCAATTCCCAAACAAACACACCCTAAGTTTAAGAACATTAGTGATATATTTTTAATCGATATCGGTATAGTGAAAAATCGTGATTTGCAATATAAAAAACAATAAAGATAGTAAAAGTCACAGACTATAAATATTCATAGAATCATAAATTTAAATAACATTATAAAAGTATATAATATTAAAATTATTAATCTATATGAATTCGGAATGGGACCGGTTTAGAAGAGTTGTGTTTTTTTATACTTAAACCTATATAATTAATAAAAAAAATTAATAGATCAAAATTGATAATGGTAATATTAAAAAATAATAATAATTTTTTTCTTAATAATAATAATTTATAATAACATGTTTTATGACCCGGACCCTAACTAAGATCGGGACCCATTCCGGGTCCCATGGAAAGGCGGTTATTTTAGAGATATCCGACGTCGTTTTGGGTTTCTGAGAGGAGCTGTGGATTGGAGTACCGCGTCGGAGAGAAACCCTAATTTTGTGCACAATGAAGAGGGGATTGAGATGGAGCGACAGGGAAGACGACGACGATACGTCGTCGGATTCTTCGACTCTGGACACGGATTCGGAGGAGAATAATGGAGCTTCGAAATCGAAGAAGAGTTCGTCCTCGAAGCTCAGTAAATCCTCGCAAGGTATTATTCACCTGAAATTACTCGAATTTGTGGTTTCTAATTTCAACATCTTTGTCGTGTTCTTACGCGTTGTAGTTTTTTTCGTTTTGATTTCTTCAATTAGGATTGAGATGCGTATTAGTCGGTACTTGCTGTTCGGAAACACCATTGAAGGCTCGGAAAATCTGCTATTGTTGTTGATTATTCCTTTCTATTACGCAATCTTACAGAAACCGTCCTGATTGATCTTTGTCCTTAATTGCTGATCAACCTGGAATTGGAATTGGAATGAACTCGCTCAATTTTAAAAAAATAAAAATGAAAAAACGATAACTTCTATTTTGCTTCTGATCAATCAAATTTAGCTAGAACTGATCAACCTGGAATTGGAATCAGCTTGCTTAATTTTTCACAAAAATAAAAATGAACAATTCATCACTTGTATGTTGCTTCTGTGATTGCCTCTGATATTCAATTTTAGCTAGAACTAATCAACCTGGAATTGGAATTGGAATTGGAATGAACTTGTTCAATTTTTCAAAAAATAAAAAGAAGAAATCGATCACTTTGTATGTTGCTACTGTGATTGCTTCTGATCAATCAAGTTTGGCTAGATCTGATCAACCTGGAATGGAATGAACTTGCTCAAAATTTCAAAAACTAAAAACGATCAGATCACTTGTATGCTGCTTCTGTTAATGCAGTTGAATCTTCAAAGAAACAAAAAGGGATAGACTTTGATGCATTGAGCCGGCACGGATACAAAGGCGGGCTGTCGGTCCTAAAAGTGCCGGCTCCAAAGGAGCCGGAGCACGAGCAGGACTGGACATGGTCGACAGGGCAAGAAACAAGGTCAAAAGAATCTGAAGAATCATTCCAAGATCGACAGAAAACAAGAGCTGCGCTTGCAGACGGGGAGCAGCTCGAACACGTTCTAACTCGCAAGGACAAGAGGAATCTCTCGTTCCAGCAGAAGGAGAAGAGGAAACGGGAGCTCGGCCAAGCCAGTCGAGGCAAGAATTACGTCGAAGAAGAGAAGCGATTGCTTAGAGACAGTGGGATCTACTCTGGCTTTGATTCTTGATCTTCCATTGCAGATAAGAAACTTTTGCTTTCCCTCTAGTATGATCTTTTCTTTTTATTTGCTCCAATCTTTTAATTGAGTTTGGTGTGTCTACAAGTGCAAGGGATATGTTACTGTGTTGATTGCGAGCTTAATTGAAGTTATATGCTGACAGTTTATGCTTATAAGATGTGCTTTATGAACATATGTTATTTCACCCCTAATTATTTGAACAATTGTCATATACTCCTCCTCTTATTTGAACAAACTATTTATTTTTACATTTTGGTCGGTTCCATAATAAAGTATTAATTTTTTTTATATAATTGTATTTTCTACCGAACTTTACAAATATCATTTCAATTTATAATATATTACACAAATATTATTATTTTTATATCATACAATATTAATAAAATTAATTTAGCATTTTTACATTTATTTTTACTATATTTAAATATAATACTAATATTTCTACAATTCCGTGAAAAAAAAAAAAAAACCAAATTGATAGATGGATATAGGAGTAATATCAATTTATGCACTTTATATCGTTTTTGAAATTTTGAAAGTTTGAAAAAATAAAAAATTAATATTTGATTTAATGTTTTGTGAAAAAAATATATATTTGAAGTGATTTTTTTAAAAAATGAATAATGCAAAATAAGTGAAAATATATTAGGTAAAAAGAGCCTAAAATTCAGGTAGGTAACAACAAGTGGTAAATGTGAATTAGATTCTAAAAAACTACTATAATAATCTGAAAATCAGGTTTAAATTGCAGTTTTTTTTTGTTTGTAATTTTAAATTAATTTGTTTAATAATATTTTATAAAAAAATAATAATAATAAAATATTTTTATTAAAAACTGCGTGTAATAAATAGTATAAAAAGAACTTTGTCTTTCAGACATTAAACATTTTGTATCTCTTTAGCTGCTGCTGCTGCTGCTCACAAACTTTCTGAAACTCATTGCCAAGTCCAAACCAAACGACCGACAATGTCAGTGGCTGCCGTGCGGGGAGAGGGCCCGACGAATTCCGCGGATCGTGTCGGGAGTCGTCCGGCAGCAGCCTCCGATCAGCGAGGCCCCTACTTCGCGCCACTTGGTTACATAGGAGACGAAGCTTTTGTCCGAAACCCCAGTGTTTTGCTGCAGCTCGAAACGAAACGGAAGGTTATGTAAGAGATCAGACAAAGAAGAAATCGACGAGGTGCTGTAAGAATTAGCTTTACCACCCACTCCTTCCGGTCGGGGTCGTAGCTCTCGCCGCTGTTCGGGTAAATGAGTATCGGCTTATTCGTCACCTGTGGCAAAATCGAAACAACAAACAAACGGTATTTCAATTATCAGTGATTGTTCGTGGGGATGGCAATATGTCGGGTATGGATCGGACCCAAGACCCGAATTGGACCCGATCATACCCGGACCCGACCCGAACAATACCCGATGGACCCAACAGATCCAAAAAAATATTTTACAATTTTCAAATTTTAATTTAAAATTGGACTCGAACCCGATATATATTAAAATTTATATATATCATTTTGAAAATATTATAATAAAATAATAAATAAATAAATAAATAATATAACATAATTTTAATATAATTTATTGCAACATTAATTATTATATCAAAAAGTAATTCAAATTTTTTTAAAGAAAATGCAAAAATACTTTCAGTCCGGATCCAAGTAGGATCCACCTTGGACCCGAGTCCCGGACCCGGACACAATAAGGGAACACAATACCCAACCCGGATCCGGATCCGATATCCGAATAATTGGATCCAAACTCAGATAAATGGGTAGGGTCCAAGTCGAATCTCGGGTCTACCCAGATCCATTGTCATCTCTAATGGTTCATTCTTCGATAGATCGGTGGGAGTGTTGAGTGAATTTTTACCTTCTTGATCGATAAAATGAGGTCGCGGATGAATCGGGGCGGGGTGCAGTTGATCCCGACGGCAACGATCTTCTTGGACGTCTCGGCAACGGCAACGCACTCCGACAAAGAATCACCGCTGACGACATGGACTCCGTCCTTGGAATTGAACGAAAGCCACGCCGGAATATTTATGTCTTCTTCTTCTTCAATTAGCTCTGCAAATGCCTAGCGAACGAACACAAGAGCTATGTTTTTTATTCCGGTTACGACAACTTAGGATGCCATGTAAGGAAGTCCATACCTGAGCCTCGAGCTTATTCGGTACTGTCTCGAACGCTATTATATCGGGGCCAGAATCGGCGAGAACCTTGACCCTCCTTCGATGGAAGCTCTTCAAGAACTCAAGATCGACGTGCTCGCCGTAATCACCGCTGTAAGAACCGAAAAATTGTCGGAAACTAGCCCGAAAGTTGATTTACTTCTTTCATAGAACAAAAATTCGATCCCAAACCTATGTTTCTTTCGTCTTAAGTCAAAGTACTATTCTTTTGTCCAAGTCAAAAGTATTTCTCTTCCTATTTCAATAAAATAAATCATACACTATTACTTAAATGTAATTTATATATAAATTAAATTAAATGACAAAAATGTTAAAATCTGTTACATACTAACACATGCAAAACATCTCCATCTGTAAGTATGAACTTACAGCACATGCTTTTACTTAGCACCATCGTGTTAAATAAAAGCACGCGTTGTTTGTTTGTTTTGTATACATTGATATGAACAAATTAGCATTATGCAGATTTGCTCGAAATCAGCATTGCTCCAAAGTAGACATTTATTTTTTACTCGAACTTTAAAAATGTATCTTAATTACCCACAATTACAATGGGTAATTAAATTGTGGGTAATTAAAAGTAGTGTAAAGACAAATTTGATCTTTTTTTTTTATGTAAAAATAATGATGTGATCGTAAAATAAATATATTTGTAAAAAAAATAAAAAAATGAAGTATTTAATAAAATTATTACTTTGTAATTGAATAACTCAAAATAAAAATATGTATATTTTTTGGCTGGACGGAGTTAGTATAATATAACATCGAATGAACAATTGACCTGTATTCGGAGCCGTCAGCCAGGTAAGCGCCGTAACTGCCCACCGACGCCGCGACCAATATCGGGCGTTCTTCAAGAATCCTCTCGTCCGGAGGCTGATCGTTCGACGCTTCACGGCATCTCGCGTAGTAAAGTTCCCGCGCCTCGATCGCAATCTGGACGCTCTTTCGGAGCAACCCCTCACCTTCTTCGAGAGAATAGCCTTTGCTCTCGAACCCCTGTAGCGTCGCCTGAAAAAAAAATGGAAACGACAAAAAAAATTGGATTTGCCCTTTTGCAACATCAGATCAGACAGGACTACCTTGGCCGTATCGAAAGATTATAAGCACCTGATACGAGGCTGTAATGATTATATCCGCGCCAGCTTCGAGATAATCCAGGTGCACCTGATCAACAAAGATAGACGAGACATAACTCCTCGTTTGAACATAAAACGAGCGTTATTATGCCCGAGGACTCGACAAACATGCTTCGAGAACTTATGTGTAATAAGTTCTTGTAGCTAATGATGCAATAAATTGCTGTAAACATCAAATGAATCTATCAAATTCATCGATTTTAAATACACATTATAACAAGCCGTTTCAAGTACATCTCATTGCGGCAATTTCTAGCTCCGGCAAGTTTTCGAACAACATGTATAAAGACATATTATAACATTGTTAGTCACAAGACATAAGAATTCATGAGTGACCAAGATCAAAAGCTGTGGTTTGTTTACTTTCATGTAAGAAACAAACCATCGTTCTCAATAAAAATACGCAAACATTTAATCGAGCCTACCTACAAAAATTCCTAAACACCAAATGACATTGTTATAAAATATCACATCAAAATATTATTTAAACAAAATCTTATCTGGGGAGGTGTTTGTTTTGTATTTTTAGTTTGAAAGACAATTTTTTTTATAGGCAATTGTGTAGATATTTAAAAAATAAGGAGCGTTTTGAAAAAGAAACAAACCCCAAATCTTTTTTTAATTAATTTTAAACCCCCCCAATCAAACAAAATAAACAAAGGTTTAGGGTTACTTGCACTCAATATTAAAAAAATCCTTAATCGGAGAGATCACATGACATCTGAAGCAATCAATCTGAGGATTCGATTCAGGACAACAATGAATTAATTAAGGATTGAAGAATCAAACAGAATCAAAGCTAAGCTTAGAAATGAAATGAAGAATGAAATTTTGCATACATCGCGGATTAGGTGAGGGGAAGTGACGAGACACTTGGCGCTCCAGAGAGGATCGTTGAGATCGGCGCCGTGGCGTTCCAGCTCCGTCGCGAGTCCGCCGTCGATCACCGCCGCGCCGCCGCCGCATTGGCGGAGGAAATCGGACATGGCGCTCTCCAGACGCCCCATTATTCTATTTATTTCTTCTTCTTTTTTTTTTTCTCTTCCTGAAAAACAAAATTAAATTAAAATAAATAAATCAAAAAGAGGTAAGATTGGAGAGACTGCTGCTCTTTCACTCTCGATTGCTGTAATAAGATCGATTATGCATTATAGCTGTCTTTTTATTATTCTTCTCGATAAACCTAAGACTACACGAAATAAAAGAAGGGGAAGTGATGAAGATGATGATGAGATTTAGGGTTAATTTATCTTATCTGGTTTTGTTATAAATAATTAATTAATTGGGGAATTTTCTTAATTATTTATTTATTTATTTATTAAAATTTTAATAAGAAACATCTGTGAGTGGCGACCTTATCGTCCCTATCTACCGGTCGGTCTAGAAAAGTTAAGTCTATTAATAGGTGAGTGAGTCTTGTGTTTTTGTTTGGGGTTTTGTATTTTGTTTGAAAATTAAATAGTAAAAAATTTGAATTAAAATATTTGTATAATATTATGCTCTCTTTATCCAATCAAAATGTTATTATTTTTTATTTTTTTTATATTTATTTAACATAATAAATATTTTTTTGATTTACGTAAATATTATTAATCTTTTATTATACAATACTAACAAAGTTAATTTTATCTTTTTCACTATAATTCAATATAATATCGTTAATATTTTTATTTTTTTCATTACAATCCAATATAATACTAATATTAAAAAAATTACGTGCAAAAATAAACGATAACCTTTCTACTAGACAGAAAGAGTATAATTGATATTGATTAGATGTTTAATGTAAAATTGATTTTTAATATAATATAAAAAAATAAATATTAATATTAATTTGATATTTTAAAAAAAAAATTGATGAATAATAAATTTTTAAAAAAATACTCCCTCCGTCCCAGAAGAGATGTCTGGTTGGAAGGTGAATATAAAGTATAATGTAAGAGACTAAAATACCTTCATTTTTTTGAATATTTTTAAAAATATATTAGAGTAATAATTAGGGGTAGTTTGAAAAAATATAAATAATTTTATTATAAAGTAAAGACTATATCTACTAAATAAAAAAATATGACAATTATTTTAGAACAAACAGAAAAATAAGATAATTCTTTTTTAACCACATGTTTGATTTAAAGAGATAAATACAAATTAAAAGGTCATATATAACCCATTTAGTGCTTGAAATAAGATTTTGTTTTATTTGTTTATTTTTAAAATTGATGTTGTATAAAAATATATTTAATATTCTCTTTGTCTCACGGCTAATTTGTCCATTTTAATTGGAGCGCCGAGTTTTAAATATTATATAATTAATAAATAATTAAAAAAATTATTAGTAAAAATAATTATAAATTAAAATTAAAATAATTAACTAATTTAATTAAAATAAAAATTATGAATTATAAAATTTAAAATGTGATTAAACTATATAATTATATTTTAAAAAAATATATGGACAGACATATATGGAAATACTTGATAAATTAAGTGTGACGAATGGAGTATAATATTATATAAAGTGTTTGTTTTGAAGTTTGAATTTTAATGTTGAATTTGAATAGTAAATTTTTTAATGATAATAGTTGTATAATATTATATAAATAAGTATTATTATGATATTTTATTTTTAGTATAATAAATAAAATAAAAATATATATTTGATTTAAGATTTTCAAAATAAATAATAATAATAAATTGTAAAAGTTTTGTGAAGTTTTATACAAAAACACATACTATTGTACTCTATAAAATTATTCAATGTTCTATAAAAGAATCCTATATATAATAGTAATATATATTGTATTGATATTCTTATATTGTAGTATTTGTAGTATATTGATATAAACGATGTGATATTTGAGGATTCTAGTCGCGCAATAATTAGAATTCTAGATTTTGTTTGATTGTATTTTGAAATTGATTTGAATTTTATTTAAATTGTATTTTGATACTCCCTTCTACCCAAAAAGAAATATCCATTTGTTTTTTCGCACATTTTAGAAATATTAGTATTATATTGAGATATAGTAGGAATAAAGTTAAAATAACTAAAATAACCTTATTAATATATGTGATATAAAGATAATGATATTTGTGTAATATATTGTAAATTGTAAGGGTATTTGTAATGTTAGGTAGATAGTACAGTTACTAAAAAAGGAAATGAATATTTTGTTATGGGATGGACTAAAAGACATTTTATTATTGGACGGAGGGAGTATAATTTTTTGGAAAAAAATAATAATTTATTTTTATTAAAATCCGTGCATAATAATAGTGTTTTGATCTAAAATATTAAAAGAATAAATAGTTTTTGAAAAAAATATTATATCAAATATAAAAAAAAATTCAAAATATTACACGTGAAAAGTAAATAAGATCCTTAAAGCCGAACATATGAAAAATTTAAATTATCAGATTTTTCCAAAATTCTTTGTCTAATATTTTAGTTTTATATTATTTCCATCACGTGATATATAACATTTCTCTCTTTTTTATCTATCTTATAGTTTGTTTTTTTTTTCATATTTAGTAAATTTATTTATCTTAAATATAAATCAAAGTTAATTAAATTTATAATCTATAGTACTATGATTCACTCCAAACCTATTTATTTCTATCTCTTTTTAATAAATAAATATTTTTATCTATACAATATTAAAACTCCTCATTTTTTATTAAAATTGGTTTTAAATTAATTAGAAATAAATAATTTTTGTTATTTATTTGTATTATATAAACATTTATTATCTATAAAATAATATTTATAATTGCATATATTTTATTGAGATATAATGTTAAAAATATATAAAATATTAATAAAACTATTTATATAAAAATAATAAATTAATATTATAATTTATGATTAATAATTTACTAATATACATTAGTTAAAATATTGTGTCTCTAACCAAAATGGTCTATCTAATCCACTACGGACCAGAGTATTTTTAACAATAAAAAATATATTTATTATATCAAATTTGTTACTTTTTATATTAAATTATTTTTGTGTTAATTACATATGTAAATATATGTTTTTTTATTTGTATTTTATTTTTTACAAAATTATAAAAGTATATTTTAGTAAAAATATACAAAATACCCGTACGATGAAACAAAAAGACCCAATATTTTTCTATTAAAATACAAGAAGTGCTAGGCAATTTACCCAAAATTATAATCATATTTAATGTATTTTGTTAAAATAAATTTTTTCCATGACTTAATTATATAATTTAAATTTATTTTAATTGTATGGAGTATTATTATAAATAAATACTTCATCCGTTACAATACAATAATCTTGTTTACCATTTTTGTTCGTCCAAAAATAATAGTTTTATTTTCATAAATAACAATATCACCATAAAATTATTCATATTTTTTTATTTTTATTACACAATTGCCACTATTTTTTATACTAATACACTCACAAAGATAAAAAAAATCTTTTATTCATATTTTTTACCAACTACCAATATAATATCAATATTCCTTAAATCTCGTGCTCAACTCAATTAATACTATAGTTCTGGGATAGAGGTAGTATTATTCAACCAAATTTCCAACCAAAAATTCAACTATCGACCAAATACACCTTTAAATAGATAGATAGATACAATATAGAGTTAAGAGTTGGTGTGGCATAACAGACAAAAATTTAAAATAAAACAATCTATAATATGTGTAAGAATATATTTTAAAAGTTAATAAATATTATCTTAGCATTATCTGTCTGTGTTTGTGTCTATCTCTGTCAGAAGGAATCCAATTCAAAAACTTGTTCATATTCCATAACTGATATGAACTTAGTGCGAGAATGAGGATAGATTCCTTGAAATAATTATCCGAGTAATCAACTGATGGGTCAAGTGGGTGATCATTAGTTTTTTTGGTCGTGTTCGTATTGGGTTCAATGGGGATAATAAAAAAATTGTCAATTCAAATCCGAAATTTGACCTGAAACCCTAGATTCGAACACGACACGAATTATTTCAGGTCAGGTTCAGGTTGACCTGAATTAGTTTCAGGTCACCCGAAACCCGAACAAACCTCATACGAATCCGATACGAAATAGACCCGAAAATTTAGAAAAAAATTAAAGTGACCTAAAAAATACTATTTTTATTTTAATTTTTATATTATTTTATATTTAAAATAATATAAATATTATAAATTAAAATAATAATAATAAAAATTTCAGGTCAACCTAAAACACGAAACACAAAACCTAACTTGATTTTTATATTTCAGGTTATCAGGTCAACCCGAAACACGACAAGAATTTTTTTCGTTTCAGGTTCGGGTCGATCCGATTTTTTTCAAATCCGAAATGCTCAAACCCGAACCTGAAAAATTTTAGGTCGAACGGATTCGATTTTTCGGGTCGAGTTTACTTTTGACACCCCCTAAGTGGAGCCGCCGATCCTTGCCTGCCTTTTGATCTTAGCCGCTCCTTAGCCCCTCTTTTATCTACAAGTGTATTAATTTGAAATTTTATTAAATTTAAAAGTTTTATGAATTTATGTAATTTTAAAAAATTCATAGAGTTTATGAATAGTCTGATAGATTTTATACTGTCTTTTTATTTTTTTATTTTGGTCTATTCTATAATAAAATATTCAAATTTTTTTTTAGTAATTGCATTATTTATCTAACATTATAAATATCATTTCAATTTACAATATATTACATAAATGTCATTACATTTATATCATACAATACTAATAAGGTTAATTTAGTTTTTTTTACTTTTATTTATATTTTATTATAATATAATACTAATATTTATAAAACTCTGTGCAAAAAAACAAATGAATATATAAATATAGAACAAGGAGAGTATATGATTTAAATAACTTTTTATAGATTTAATTAGATTGTTTATATATTTATATGAATTTCATATGATTATAGAATAAGTTTTTATTAATTTATATAATTGGTGTAAATTTATATAAAATACATTAAATATAAAAAGTGTAATAGTTAAAAAATATATATTAATGTTGTATAGTAATTGTAGTATAATACTATTTTTATGTATGTGTATATATATTATTAATTTAATAAGTTTGATATGAAATGACAATGAGATAAATAGATACGGAGACGACTTAGGTTCAAATTTTCTCCATATATTTTTTGATAAGATTTATTTGGTTTTTTTTTCTTTTTTTGTTAATACAAAAAAAGAAGAATTAATTCATAATTTTAATTAAAAACATTTTTTTAAAAGCAAATTGCTAATATTTTTTTTTATTATATTTTAGGTTTTGAAATTATTATTATTTTGTTAAAATATTAA